GGGGGGAAGAAGACTGACCAACCAACCTCCAACCCCCCCACCCCGCCATCCCTGAGCCCCACATGGGTCCCCTGGAGCCCTGGAGCCCCAGAGCCCTGGCGACCCATCCCCAGCACCCCAGACGAAGCCACCACAGTGCACGAGGACTTTTATTGGGTCTCGTATTTACAAGGCTGGGGTGGGGGGATCGGTGACAGTGCGGGGGGGGACGCCCGGCGCCTTGGCTCAGAGGAGGGGATGCTTGCCCTGCTGCTGTCGGTTCGCCAAGTGCATGAGCTTGAGGAGCAGATCTCCAGCCGAGCCGTCCAGCACTGTCAGGTTCTTTTCCGCCGTCTCCTGAGCACCGTCGCTGCCCTCATCCAGGCAGCCGGCGTCCATTGCACAGGTTTCTTCAATAGAAAGCAAAACGTCAGGACAGGATGGGTTATTTGGGACAGAGAGTGTTTTATTTTCAGGTGGGAAAGGGGTTGGTGGCAGCCAAGGGTGCCCGCACAGCTCGCACCCCAGCTTTGTCCCTCCTGTTAACCAGGGAGTGGGACTGGCTGGGCTTTTTCCGGCACATCGGGGAGGCTGTGTGTGTGTGCCTGGTCGGGAAAAATCTCACAGTGGAGGCTCGGGAAGGAGCTCCGAGCCCAATCCTTATCATAGAATCATAGAATGGTTTGGGTTGGAAGGGACCTTTAAATGTCACCTAGTCCAACCCCCCTGCAGTGAGCAGGGACATTTTCAACTCGATCAGGTTGCTCCGAGCCCCGTCCAGCCTGACCTGGAATGTTCCCAGGGATGGGGCATCGACCACCTCTCTGGGCAACCTGTGCCAGTGCCTCACCACCCTCATCGTAAAAAATTTCTTTGTATCTACTCTGAATCTGACTATCCCAAACTTATCTCAAAACAAAGACACCACTGCTGCCGCTCTGCGCCTCAGTTTCCCCTTTGTAAAGCGAAGGCTAACTGGAGGACAGACCCATGCCGTTGCGACCCCCCCATGGCCCCAAGACACTCCAAACTCTCCAGACCCCAATCCTGCTGACCCCAACACCCCCCCCGCAATATTACCGGCGGTGCAGCAGATGCCGGGTGCGGCGCAGCGGCCGCCGGAGCCGCAGGGCTGCCCGCCGGCCTGGCAGGGTGAAGGCAGGTAGTCTTCCTCGGCGCAACGCTGCGTCTCTGCCGTGCCCAGGTAACAGCCCAGCTCGGCGCCGCAGCAGATGCCGGGGCCGAAGCAGTTGCCTCTGTTCCCGGGGCCGCAGGGCATGCACTGGGGGAAGGAGCCACTTGAATCCCCCGTACCCCCCCCCCCAAAAAAAGGGGGGGTACACCTGCTTGCCCTCCCTTGTATTTGAAAGCAGCCCCCTCCCCGATTTGCCAGCCCTTGGGGTGTCACGCCGGCACGGGGTGACCTGTCTCGTTCCCATCTCCGGCAGCGTGGCCCCATTTTGGGGGCTCCCTGCTGCCCCCGCCATGTCCTCCCCATCTCTGCTCCATGGGGCAGAGCCCTGTCCCCCCCCAGACAGAGATGGCCGAGCCCTGTCTCCTCCTTGAGGTGACAACACCATTTTGGGGGGGGACACTCATTCCTCCGCCACCGCCCCACCGCGTGCCCTTGGCCATGTCCCCCAGCCCTCCCCAAAAAACGGGGCGCACTGCGCTGCTCGGGGGGGAGAGTGGCACGGCCGAGGGTGCCGCAGGTAACGAGAAGCCTCTGCGACCCACAGAGCCGCTATGTCCCCCCAAAAAAGCCCCATCCTGTCCCCCCCAAGCCCCCATCCCATCCCGTACCTGTCGGAGGGCTGTGTCGGCCAGGGCCCGCTTGCCGCCCCGGGGACAGTTCTGGATGTAGCAGGCGGAGGACAAGGCGAGGAGGCAGAGGAAGGAGAGGGGCAGCGAAGGCTCTGCCATGGTCGAGGGTGCTCGCAGCTGTGCCACGCGTGCCAGGGGAAGCCGTCCGCTCTGCCGCTCGCTTTGCATCTGGCCCTGTGCTGTGCCAGCTGCTATTTATGCTTCTGTCGCCCCTTCCCAGGGGAGGAGGAGGAGGAGGAGGAGGATGAAGAGGGCTGGGTTGGTTTTCTTGTTGGTTTTTGTTGTTGTTTTTTTTTTTCCCTGTCTTTTTTTTTTTTTCTTTTTTTTTTTTTTCCCAAATTGCATCCAAGTGAATCTGTAATTGAAGTGATTCAGTGCA